TCTTTAAAAGCAGTTCCGGCCATTTTCAAGGCTGATAGGCAATTTTCATGTTTAAATACGCAGGCCAAAGTGTAAGAGGCTCCCGAACCTCAAGGACCATAGCAAACACTAAACAGTCCAGAATGAATGCATTCCCACTGGAGGCCACAGTTCTATGATCCATACTGACCTTCATATTACCTCCTGATATCCTCATCCTATCATTGTACAACCAATCCAGATCATTCACTTATCAATGTTATCTGTCTACAGGAAACCTTCATAGATGTGTGGCACCAATGAGGATGGAGGAGGACCGGAGTCACATGACTGAGAGGATACTAAACCTCACCCTGGAGATCATCTACCTGCTGACCGGAGAGGTGAGGAGGATTCTGGGAGGTCACATGACATCACTCTCATCTCTATTAATAAAACACAGACCTGACCGGAGAGGTGAGGAGGATTCTGGGAGGTCACATGACATCACTCTCATCTCTATTAATAAAACTCAGACCTGACCGGAGAGGTGAGGAGAATTCTAGGAGATCACATGACATCACTCTCATCTCTATTAATAAAACACAGACCTGACCAGAGAGGTGAGGAGGATTCTGGGAGGTCACATGACATCACTTTCATCTCTATTAATAAAACACAGACCTGACCGGAGAGGTGAGGAGGATTCTGGGAGTCTAACGTGATGTTCCTATTGGTTCCACAATACAGAGATTTCCTCTTCTGAAGTCAGGTGATCATATGACCATCACAGTGCCTCCATGTGACACCTAAACCCTGAGAGACACAACATGGAGAAGATTCTAGAAGTCACCAAGAAGATGATGGAGCTGCTGACAGGAGAGGTGAGCGGTGCCGGGAATTCTGGGACATTCTCCAGTAACAGACAAGGGATGTGTCTGGATGGTGACTGTATCATTATGTGTGTCAGGTTCCTATAAGGTGTCAGGGTGTCACTGTCTATTTCTCCATGGAGGAGTGGGAGTATTTAGAAGGACACAAGGACCTCTACAAGGACGTCATGATGGACAATCAGCCGCCCCTCACATCACCGGGTAAGAGGAGACTTTATTGGAAAGGAGAGAGCAGTACGGAGGCTCCACCTAGATCCCCCATCATCTGATAAACACATAGAAACAATGGATTCAGTCAGTGTGTGTGTTTCCTACAGATGGATCCAGTCATGGGAACCCACCAGAGAGATGTCCCCGTCCTCTATATTCCCGGGATTCCACACAGGAAGGTCACACCATGCCTCACCATCATCAGGTAGATGGATCCAGTCATGGGAACCCACCAGAGAGATGTCTCCGTCCTCTGTATTCCCGGGATTCCATACAGGAAGGTCACACCATCCCTTACCATCATCAGGTAGATGGATCCAGTCATGGGAACCCACCAGAGAGATGTCCCCGTCCTCTGTATTCCCAGGATTCCACACAGGAAGGTCACACCATCCCTAACCATCATCAGGTAGATGGATCCAGTCATGGGAACCCACCAGAGAGAGGTCCCCGTCCTCTGTATTCCCGGGATTCCACACAGGAAGGTCACACCATCCCTCACCATCATCAGGTAGGTGGAGTTGAGGGCCTGGAACATAAAGTGGTGGAACACTCTGGATGGAATATCTGCAGATGATGTTTGGAGTTTTGGTAGTCATGAGTCTGTTACAATGAATGTTTTATTATATATTCAGAGTGGAAACCTCGGGGATGATAATATAACATCAGTTAAAGATTATAAACAGGATGATGAGGACTATGAAGTGATGGAGGAGCTCTCTGAGGAACCCAAGGACCTCTACAAGGACATCATAATGAAAACACCTAATACCAGGAACCCACCAGAGAGATGTCCCCGTCCTCTGAATTCCTGGGATTCCACACAGGAAGGTCACACCATCCCTCACCATCATCAGGTAGGTGGAGTTGAGGGTCTGGAATATAAAGTGATTGAAGACTCTGATATCTGGAGATGATGCTTGGAGCTCATATGGTAAATACGTATATATTACAGATAGGTTTCTTTCTCATTCATTGGGGGACACTGACATTCTAAAACAGTTTGGTTGCACCGCCACCTATAAGAGGCTGGGACGCTTGCAACCAGAAAAGTTCTATGCCAGCCCCCATATAACCCTTTCTCCACTTATCAGGTGTCTTAGGAGGTTGGACACCTTTTTTGCAACTATTCTGAAAACATCTAACCAATGTGTTTTCTGTTAGCGTTCTTAGTGACTTCAATCAAGATTCTTCACTGACACCCCTGACTCAGTGGGAGACATTAAGATGGTCTCTGTGGACAAGGAACAAATTAGTGTGTCCCATCAGCCTCCTTAAGCACATGGGGTAATCACTTCTGACCCAAAGGGTTGATGGGATGTCCCCTCCTCATTGGAGGATCTGAAAACCCTTCCTGTGACAGGACAAGTAGCCTGGTCCATATGCTAGTGGACATTAAGTATACCTTTCATATTGTCTTCCTTGACAATAGTATTAACATCTGACTCTTCTCAACTGGTGGTCTCTGTACCAAAGGTAAAGGTTTGAGAACATTGAGTGCTCCTCATCTCCTTCATGGCAGGAAAACAAATCATCATTGGAGGGCTTTGTGTTCATCTGGATTGCCAACAGGTAGAACATGCTAAGTTCCTGCTGAAGGTACTCCCTGTTAGGGATGGAGTATGTCCTGGGGCCTTGGAGGCACCTGAACATGGGTCTTCTTTCTGTGGCTGATCTGAGGAGGCTTCACAATATCCCTTTCTGAGTTCTTAATCAAATGTTCTTAGCAGTGTGGCTAAGGTTCACGTCCTTCACCTCATGACTAGAGATGCTTTATGGGACTGGAGCAGGTCAGGAGAGTTTTAGAATCATGTTCTGTAGTAATGTTGGGTAGGTCCTGCAGAGTTCATCTGTCAGTCTCCAGAGACACCTCCGAGAGTGAAGCGGATGGTTTTGCCTATCCTCTTGTTCTCCTGTTGCTCCTTCTCACCAGTCTGAGGATATGGTATACTTTTCATCGTTGTCTACTTTGGTAGATGTTCTTCTGGTGCATCCCACCCCCCCTTTTTCTGTGAGGCCTGAAATCTCTACTATTCTCGGGTCACTTAGCTATTCTATTCATGTCTCTCATATTTTTGGACATCACGTTTGTAAGCCTGGTTCTCTGGCCAGGCAACCACATCCTGATTATAGAGCCTACCTTTTCTATGTCCTAAGGGTTGGGAGTGTGAGACTTGTGCCTTTACATGTAGGCCGGTTGGATCTGTTTTTTTTTCCTCCAAGGTACCTTCCGGGGATGTGCTTACTTTAGGACTTTTTTTTTTGTTAACCACACCATGTTATTGCTCTTTTTCTTCCTGTGGGTAGATATGTACTTCCACCTGTTCTGTTGAGTTGTTTATGTAAAATCTCTCAATTTCTCAACCTCCATTTTCCCTTTGGTGGAGTCATTTCCCCTCGGTGGTGAGGTGTCCATCGAGAGCCATGGCCAACACCCTTTTGTGTTCTTTGGCTCTTGTCCTTGGTGCTGCTTATCCACAAACCTGAGGTACAATACGGGATGTCCTCCTTCTGTCTGACAATTGTTCTGTTTGCCAGTGTCCCATTCTTCGGTGAGTGGCGGTGTAACCCAACAGTTTCTGAATTTCAATGGACCCCAAGAGATACATTTTACAGTAAATACTAAAAAAAGTATTTTTTTCTGCCATTCTGTTGGTTTAGGTTGAAGATCTGATTAATATAAAAGTTGAGGATGAGGAAGAAGAGGAGTATGTGTGGGATGATGAGCAATATATGGAGGAGCCTGGAATGAGGAGAACATTCATAGAGGAGGACACTCCTACAGAGATCAGCACAGGTGACCAGAATATATTCTTCTCTTATCTCTTCTCTGTTACTGCACACGGATTGGTCCAGAGTAGGGCGGGATCTGAGTGATATGGACCAAAAATAGGTTGATAATGGTGCTGCATATCAACAGAAGCCTAGGCCTATGACCACCTGTTCTATGGTCTTTAAGTCTGAACTTTGACCCTCTTGTCTATCAGAGATCACATGACTCAGAGCCTAGGCTTGTGGTTGTGTAAAGAGCATGCCCCTCCCAACCCCCATTGGTTCCTGCTCCTCTGACAAGGCGGTCATGAGGAATGAGAACATTCATAGAGGAGGACACTCCTACAGAGATCAACACAGGTGACCAGAATATATTCTCTTATCTCTGCTCTGTTACCCCCCCCCCCCCCCCCCCCCCCCCCAGCCTTCATTGGTTCCTGCTCCTCTGACAAGGCGGGTGTAAATGTAGAAGTGATCTGGGAGGACCAAAGACTCTTTGAAGAGGGGAAGAGTCCCAGCTGGTTGGGACATCCACAGAGAACATCTGCTCCCTCCTATCTCCCTGATACAGATGGAATCTTGATGGAAGTGAACTAACCCTCTCCTATCTATTGATGATGTTTTTCTATTTTTCCAGGACCTGCCATGGAGAAACCCTCAAAGGATCGTCCCACTTTATCTCCAGGTTGGAAAGTGGAAGATGATGAATCCACACTTGATTGTGTGGAAGAAGATACAATGAGCTCCACCATGGATGGTGGACTTCCCAGTGTGGAGAGAGACCATGGACTCCCTCTGACTCTGAGCACCCTCATACTGGGGGGGATGGGGCCGGGGCTCAGGAGGAGAAGACATTTCCCTGTCCTGAATGTGGGAACATTTTTGGCTCAGAATTAGGTCTTTCTATACATAGAAGATCTCACAAAGGGGAGAAGCTTCATTCCTGTTTTGAGTGCGGGAAACATTTTCTTTATAAATCAGAACTCGTCATGCATTACAGAACTCACACAGGGAAGAAGCTGAATTCCTGCCCCGAGTGTGGGAAACGATTTCTTTGCAAATCCAAAATGGTCATACATTATAGATCTCACACGGGGGAGAAGCCGTATTCCTGTGCTGAGTGCGGGGAGATGTTTCTCAGAGAAGTCCGGTCTTTCCAGACATCAGAGATTGCACACGGGAGAGAAGCCGTATTCCTGCCCGGAGTGCGCAAAATGTTATTCACAAAAATCAGACCTTCTTATACATCAAAGGACCCACACGGGGGAGAAGCCGTATTTCTGTTCCGAGTGCGGGAAATGTTTTTCGCAGAAATCAGAACTTGTCATACACCAAAGATCTCACACGGGGGAAAGTCCATATTCCTGCTTTGAGTGCGGGAAAGTTTTTTCAGAAAGGGGCAGTCTTTCCCGACATCAGAGATTGCACACGGGAGAAAACTTGTATTCCTGTACGGAGTGCGGGAAATGTTTCCTGGGCAAATCTGACCTTGTTACACATCAAAGATCTCACTCAGGGGAGAAGCCGTATTCCTGCTCTGAGTGCGGGAAAGGTTTTTCACAGAAGTCCCATGTTCTTACACATAAGAGGTCTCACACGGGGAGAAGCCGTATTCCTGTCATCTGTGCGGGAAATCTTTTTCGCAGAAGTCAAATCTTACCGCGCATCAGATATGCCACACGCAGGAAAAGCTGTTTTGCTGCCCTGAGTGCGGGAAATGTTATCCGCGGAAATCATCGCTTCTCACGCATCAGCTATCTCACACGGGGGAGAAGCCGTTTTCCTGCGAGTGCGGGAGAAGGTATACACGGAAATCAGACCTTGCGAAACATCAGAGATCTCACAGAGTGGAGGTGCTGTATTCCCGCCCTTAGTGCGGGAAATGTTTTCTATTTATTTATTTATTGTCATGTTTTCTAATGGACTTCAATAGCTATATGCTCACAGATCATCAGTGATATGGTGCCAACCTAACAACCTCACACGGGGACTTGTCTCAAATCACAATCCTACTTCTCAGGACTTTGTGGGTGGGGGGTGAGAGGGTATGAGTATAGCAGGGGACGTTATGGCCCACCCATGAAGTTATTTTGTGCTATGTATCGCATGTTACTAATGTTCTAATCTGTGCTGGCATCTAGTGTTAGATTAGTGTCATAGCAACTTGTTTATGTAGCATTTGGTGTGTTCCTTCGTGGCTTCCCCTCCTGTTTAGTGCTATATGGCTAGCTGGTCTTCTTCCATGTTCCCTCAGTTAGGTTCTAGTTTTTGTGGCAGATACTAGGCTGGGTAGATCTTTGTCAAGAGCCTGCTTAAAACTGTAGTGTGAGAAGTAAAATCGTGCTGGTTCCAACCTATGTGTCTTACTGGGGAGTTAAGCTGTCTGTGGATCGTGGTGAATCAGCAGGTGACAATACTGTCCGGTACAGATCGAGGTCCATGGAGGTATTCCAATGCACAAAGTGGCATTTGAAATACAAACTTGGGATGTTAGTTCATCTACCCAGCTGGTAGCCTCAGAAGGAGGCGGGTACTCCCATTTTTATATATTTTTTTCCCCAAATAAATAATTTTGCTCTCTATATGTTGTCCCCATATACGCATAAAGATAGGACATTGGACAGCAGATCTCCAAACTTGCTGGATTTATGAAGAGCTGTTTGCTGACTATTAGTGTGAGGAACACCTCCCGAAAGGTCCTACAGAAGGTCTACCTTCAGACAATGACATGGCTATGCCACATCCCGTGGGTCCCAGGTGTCACTGGGGTCAGCTCCTCCCCAATGTTCATAGCAAGAATCATACCCCATACTGCCACTGAATCCGCTTTGATTCAAAGTTTCAAACAACTTTATCGTTTGCTGAGCATGACACAAGCCACCAAACCTTACCCCTGGGACGGATCTAGGGGGGTGCTCTATGCCCCCCAGATTTTAGCTGTGCCCCCCCCCAGATTCTAGCTGTGCCCCCTAGATTTTAGCTGTGCCCCCTCAGATTTTAGCTGTGCCTCCCCCCCAGATTTTAGCTGTGCCCCCTAAGATTTTAGCAGAGAGGCTCATCTCTTCCACCATCCCCCCTCCCACCCTGTCTAAGCAGTTGTCAGCAGAGAGGAGGAGAGAACTCCTCCTGCAGGTCCTGTTCCTCTCTGTGCACCCCTTGTCTCCATCCCCACCCTGTCTCAGCAGTTGGCAGCAGAGAGGAGATCAGAGCTCCTACAGATCCTGCACCTCTCTGTGCACCCCTTGTCTCTGCCCCCAACCTGTCTCAGCAGTTGGCAGCAGAGAGGAGGCCATAACTCCTCCTACAGTTTCTGCTCCCCTCTGTGCACCCCCTCATCTCTGCCCCCACACTGTCTCAGCAGTTGGCAGCAGAGAGGAGGACAGAACTCCTCCTACAGATCCTGCACCTCTCTGTGCACCCCCTTGTCTCCGTCCCTACCCTGTCTCAGCAGTTGGCAGCAGAGAGGACAGAATTCCTCCTACAGATCCTGCACCTCTCTGTACACCCCCTTGTCTCCGTCCCCACCCTGTCTCAGCAGTTGGCAGCAGAGAGGAGGACAGAACTCCTACAGATCCTGTTCCTCTTTGTGCAACCACAGCATCCCCTGGTGTCAGCATTCAGCAGATTCTGGCAGCTGACTCCAGCCCTCCTCTGGTCCTCCTCCAGACCCAGCACATTCTGCTTCCCAGCTTGGCCCCCAGCTTCTTCCTCAGCAGCAGCACAAGGTAAGGGGGGTGCACTGTGATGTAAGGGAGGGTGAGGGGGATCTTTACCTCTGATGGTGGGGGGCCCTTAACATCTAATGTAAGGGGGAGGGGTGCTTTGGAGATCTAGTCTTACAGATACAATGGGCCCTTGATGACATTGATCATAATGCCATACGTGTGTCCTGTCCTTTCTGCATGTTAACCTGTGGCTTGTGTGCACCTTGGCATGCAGTTAAACCCCCCCCCACCCTGCAATATACCAGAATATATATATATACACACACGGCTCCACCAATGAGAGGAAGACTCTGAAAACCCATCAGATCTCAATGGGGAAGAATCTCCTGCTGGATCTCTATACTGACATGGACGGGGGGATGGGTGAGGAATGTAAGGACGCCCCATCGTTTGATGGAAATGAAAATGATCGACCTACAGAGGACTGAATTTAAAGACACCCCAAAAATCAAAGTGAAGAAATGATGCAGCAGGCGAGTCCATGTTGGTGAACAGCAACTTAGAATGGTCCTCAGTAGTTTGTGTGGCCCCCACGTGCTTGTATGCATGCCTGACAACGTCAGGGGAGGGTCATAATAAGACCACGGATGGTGTCCTGGGGGATTTCCTCCCAGATCTGGACCAGGGCATCACTGAGCTCCTGGACAGTCTGAGGTGCAACCTGGCAGCGTCGGATGGCCCGAAACATGACATCCCAGAGGTGATCTATTGGATTTAGGTCAGGCGAGTGTTGGGGCCGTTCAATGGTATCAATTCCTTCATCCTCGAGGAACTGCCGGAATACTATCGCCACATGAGGCCGATCATTGTCGTGCACCAGGAGGAACCCAGGACCCACCGCACCTGGAGGAACCCAGGACCCACCGTACCGGGAGGAACCCAAGACCCACTGCAGCGGGAGGAACCCAGGACCCACTGCACCAGGAGGAACCCAGGACCCACCGCACCAGGAGGAACCCAGGACCCTCCGCACCAGGAGGAACCCAGGACCCACTGCACCAGCGTAGAGTATGACAATGGGTCCAAGGATTTCATCCCGATACCTAATTGCAGTCAGGATGCCATTGTCTATCCTGTAGAGGTCTGTGCGTCCCTCCATGGATATGCCTCCCCAGACCATCACTGACCCACCACCAAAACGGTCATGCTGAACCATGTTACAGGCAGCAGAACGTTCTCCACGGCTTCTCCAGACCCTTTCACGTCTGTCACATGCTCAGGGTGAACCTGCTCTCATCTGTGAAAAGCACAGGGTGCCAGTGGTGGACTTGCCAATTCTGGGGTTCAATAGCAAATGCCAATCCAGTTCTATGGTGTTGGGCAGTGAGCACAGAGCCCACTAGAGGATGTCAGGCCCTCAGGCCACCCTCATGAAGTCTGTGTCTGTTTGGTCAGAGACATTCCCACCAGTGGCCTGCTGGAGGTAATTTTGTAGGGTTCTGGCAGAGCTCATCCTGTTCCTCCTTGCACAAAGGAGCAGATACCGGTCCTGCTGATGGGTTAAGGACCTTCTACGGCCCTGTCCAGCCCTCCCAGAGGAACTGCCTGTCTCCTGGAATCTCCTCCATGTTCTTGTCTCCTGGAATCTCCTCCATGCTCTTGAGACTGTGCTGGGAGACACAGCAAACCGTCTGGCAATGGCACATATTGATGTGCCATCCTGGAGGAGTTGGACTGCCTGTGCAACCTCTGTAGGGTCCAGGTATGGCCTCATGCTACCAGTAGTGACACTGACCCTAGCCAAATGCAAAACGAGTGAAAAGATGAGGAGGGAAAAAATGTCAGTGGCCTCCACCTGTAAAACCATTCCTGTTTTGGGGGTCATCTTATTGTGCCCATGTAGTGCACCTGTTGTGAATTTCATGAACACCAAAGCAGTTGAAACTGATGAACAACCCCCTCTGCTACCTGCTACTTACCTGACCAGATCAATATCCCAGGAGTGTCATGGACTTGATGCTAGACTCGGATTACAAAGTCTTCCTTTCATTTTTTTGAGCAGTGTATGTGTGTGTGTGTATATGTATATATGCATGTATATATATATATATATATACACATACACACACACACATCTTGAAGTTATTACAACGGGGGGTGAAACTCTACACAAAGTAGAGAGAAAACATGCAGAATGAAAACCTAAATTAGAACAATACCCGATGTCTCTGAGCTGATAAAGGGCGCCATAGATGTTGGGAAAATGAGAGTCCAAGTGCTCACCAGCGATGCTGCCATAACAGAATGGGATGCTTCCCCCACATTCAACATGTGCCCAGGATGATGTCTGGCTTATTCCACATCCTTCTTCTTCCTCTCAGCGAGGAATCATGGGAGCTATGCAGGCTCAGTAGGGTCAACACTCTGCCACACAAGTTTATGCTCTTTGGCCACTAGATGATGAAGGCAGGATGATGTGTTTTACGGGAGACAATGGATTCATGGATATCGAGTTATAATCCAGCTTGTGAAAGTTTTCATTAACAGCTATTTAAAAAAAGAAAAAAACCCACAAACATGGAGCTCACCGGAGGTCCGGATTAAGTGAGCTAGCTGTGTCTAGGCATGACAGGTGAGTTAGCTAACTAGTCCTGGGCTTGAAAGCTGGGTGGGCTGGTTGGAATTGTGCTTGATATCAGGGAGGGAAAGCTGGGCCTGGGCTGGATGTGTAGGTGGGAAAGCTGGGGCTGGGCTTGATATCTGGGAGGGAAAGCTGGGCCTGGGCTTGATGTGTAGGTGGGAAAGCTGGGGCTGGGCTTGATGTGTAGGTGGGTATCTGGGACTAGGCTTGAAAACAGGGTGGTCTAGCTGGGCCAGGACCTGAAAGCAGGGTGGTCTAGCTGGGCCAGGACCTGAAAGCAGGGTGGTCTATCTGGGCCTAGGTTTGAAAGCAGGGTGGTCTAGCTGGCCCTAGGCTTGAAAGCAGGGTGGTCTAGCTGGGCGTAGGCTTCAATGCAGGGTGTTCTAGCTGGGCCAAGACCTGAAAGCAGGGTGGTCTAGCTGGGCCAAGACCTGAAAGCAGGGTGGTCTAGCTGGGCCTAGATTTGAAAGCAGGGTGGTCTAGCTGGGCCAAGACCTGAAAGCATTGTGGTCTAGCTGGGCCTAGATTTGAAAGCAGGGTGGTCTAGCTGGGCCAGGACCTGAAAGCATTGTGGTCTAGCTGGGCCCAGGCTTGAAAGCAGGGTGGTCTAGCTG